TCCGATTACGAAACTTCAAAAAAAGCTTAAGTATTTTCCTTCCTTTAGGTATTAATTTTCTATTATACTTATATGATTTGTAAGTTAATAACAGAATGACGGGTGTATTTTCAAATAAATACCATATTTTTAAATAAAGTTTAAAATGAATTATATGCTTTGCATAATAATTTGAAACTCCGCCGACGATCTACGTTTTCATTATCAAAACAGCGCCATCTATCATCAAATGAAAAAAGTTGTATTATCTTGCTTTCTAACTTCTTGACTAATAAATTAAATAATAATAATAAATTACATTTATATGTTTGAATAATTAGATTTTAAAAATATTTAGTAGTTTTATATATATAATATATAAGATATAGATAATAGTGAGGTCTTATCAAACGTATGAAAACTGATGTCGTATTTAGCTTAATTACTAATCTATATGTAAACTGATTAAGGGGATTACAAGGAACAAGTGACCTCGAATGATGCACATACATATTTACACAATCAATGTGAACGCATTTAACGGCAGTGAGGTTAAACTAACGAATTAGCGAAATTAGGTCCGAGTGTTTTTATAGATAGAGCACAAGTAAAATATATATATGTAATAAACGAATAGACGGGACAATTAAATTATTTTTAATTTGAGTATTACTTGCAACTATCAGGAAGTGAGTGATTTGGAAATGAAACTGATTCGATGAAACTTAAAAAAAAAAACATTTTTATTTAAGGCTCCTATTAAAAATGTCGAAGTGGCGCCGTTTATACATCTTTATGATTTACATAAGGGTTTTAACGAAGATTTAAAAAAAAAACTCATCGAAATCGGATGATTTTTCGATTTTCTAGAGCGTTTATGATAACATTTAAAGTCAAAAAATTAAAGTGAGATTAAAATTAATAAACAAACATGTTTCAATGCTTTTGTTTTAAATGTTTGTTTTTTGTGTAGATTAACAATAAAAATATACAAACTTCGTATAACGCTTTGCAAAAAAGTTATGAACGATTATATTCTAAGAAGTGCGTTTATGATCATATTTAAAGTCATAAACCTGTATGAAATCTTGAGGTGAGATATTTTCCATAAATCCACTGTAAAATATGTTAAAATGAAACGTGATAAAATCCGTCCTAATTAAACTATACTATAAGATTAGTTTTATTCCATATGTAGTAGTCATAATTACTGCAGAACAGCATTTTTGAAATTTTGAAGTCTACTCGAACGTAAAAAATATCGGCATCAGTTTCATAGTGCCAATCAATATTAAATGGGGCCAATGATATGAATCAAATATCGCAAATAAATATTATTTTATTAACTGATTGAACACTATGAAATCATCATTATTTTGTTAAAACTTAATTAAATTTAATTGTGAACGAATGTAAAAAGCAAAATGTAAAAAAATTATAGAAATAAATTTTGATTCCAATATAATTTACTGGTGGAGCCAATTGCTCCGGTTCGAAGAACCAAAAAAATGGTGCGGCGATGGGGTCTCGGGTTGGATTTCCGGGTTGGACCAAAACCTTATTATGCGGGATCGATTTTCTTGGTTGACTGTATGTGTGTGGTCGTACATGATGGCTGATAAGGCACGTGACAGTTTTGGACGATACACTCGCTATCCCAATTTATTATTTAGCCAGTGTCCCGAGATAGGATTCTACTTGAGCTGTTAGGGGGCAGAAAAACATAGCCAAGAAAATAAACAGCTCAGGGGCAATCTAAGGAGCACTTACCGGGGTGGGGTTCCTTCTGCCGGCGGCTTCGAGGATGACGCTCATGGTGTAGTGATGCATTGGAAGAGAGCGGTGCGCGACGATAACTCGCATTATGCGAGACGGTTACTTTTTGATTGTTCTGTGGTGCAACTGCCACAGAGGTGCGAACACAACTAGCGTTGTTCTTCAATCACGATGCAAGAAGAAAGAGCGCCGGCAGCGCTAGCCCTTTTATTGGTACACCATCTCCACCTACCACATTCATCTAGGCAGGGTGCGTTTCTTGATTGGCCGAAAATCACCTCACATTCAAGACTCCCCCCCCCTTTTCGTTTCGTGGAATGGAATGTGGGTAGGATGGATGAGAGCACTGACTAGATTATTAATCAACTAAACAAAAATGTGAGAGTACCCGTTTCTTTTTCCGCGCAACAATTTACCTTTCTTATGGACACAACGAAAGATATGCCCGATATAAAAATAGTTGATTCTAGACATATGATATTAATGCAATACTGGAAAACTTATTTGTTCATGTAGCATAGTTTTCTATGCCAAATATTCATCACTTATGTCGAATAGTATTTGGGAATTCAAAAAACTTCTTTGAAAAACAGACATAGTGGACACTGAGGTGACTCTAAAAGAGATCGAATTTTGCTACATATGGCACGGAACAGCATTTAATGATATCCCTAAATTGATGTCCCTAAGTCCAAGTTATTGTCAACTATTTTGTATATGATTATCGTCATCGTATCATTGGTCGATAAACAGTCTGTGATGTGATTGCTCTTTAATATGAGCCACTCCACAATATGTAGAACGAACGTAATACTTTTTTTTGCTGGTTAGCAGGAAAAATTACCAGTATCGTATCAGACGCTTCGCACCTTAATTCTGTCTTTAGTGTAAAAAATAACGAGTATTTTAAATAGTATAATAATTATAATAAAATAAAATTATATTCGAAGTTTTAAGATGAAAAAAAGCTAAATGGTCTTTTGTTAAAGTCTTCAATGTAAACCCTAAACTCGAGAATATAGGTGCCGCACTAGATGAACATATAATACTTTTCGCCCAATCTCAAAAGTGTACAAAAATATTATTGAGGAACTGCTTCATTACGTTTAGTAATAGATAAGATGGATGACGAATACTGGGGAGTGCGTCTAAAAATTACTCAAAAACATATATAATTGTTACCATTATTATATAAATCGCTTCATTCATGTCCAGGGTTAGTGAGTGTAGAAATAAGTTAATTAGTGAGTTCGCGGTAAGACTGCCAGCTACAGCGTTTTATCAAAAATAGCTTAAGATAGCTGCTTGACGTGATGGTTCCCTCCATTTAGGCTTAGATATTATTATAATATAATTCTTTTTAAATTTTTAGTAATTCTGTACCGTATTGTCTTTTTTTCGTTGGTAAGTTATATGGGTGCCTGATAATAAAGAGAATTTATTTATTTTATTTATTAATGTACCAGCAGGGGTGGATCCAGATTTTTTTGGTTAGGTACAAAGGGCCAGGTATGATACGAAATAATCAGAAGATTAAGTAAAGTAGAAATATAATTATAACTAGATAGAAAAAAATAATTAATGTTTACTGCTGGTTTTACGGCGTAAATATAATATCATCAATTATCTCAAAGTTATAATATACAACATTTTATCACACCTATATATTCATTTAACCGACGTTTCTAGTGCTTTGCCCCAACTAACCCAAATGTTAGACGTCAAGATACCATACTTAGTACTTACTTTTTTAATTGAGAGATCTGTGACAGTTTACACATGATAGCAAATGTGTCAAAAAATGCGGACGTTCCTCCCTGGCATCAATTAAATTTTTTTGCCTATCTACCTCATGCTATGAAAACAATAGAAAAAAAAAACACGAACAATACAAAACATTTCAAGATACTACATGCTCATTCTGCGTAGATCGTACCCGTGAAATCTGTGTTATTGTAGCCGTTGTTATCTATGATTCTTGGATGTCGAACACCTCAGTCACCATGGGTGCTGCAAAAGTACTCAAAACGTAGGGAATTTAAAATAAGTTTATATACCTACGCGATAAAATCCGTAAAATTTAGCTTCATTTTTAAACTTTGTTTTAGAAGAAATCATTAGAAAAAGAAGGTTTTACTGTGTTAACTAATACTGACGGCTCATACATTTACAAATTGGATAATTATTGTTTGTGTGACAGTAGTTTCTATTGAAATTTTGTCATTTGACCTTTTTTTATTTGACTTGTGGAAAACTCAACTTCTAACCTCATTTTCTCTTATTTTATTTGAGGCCAGCAAGTCACTTATTAATTCTTTGGTTATCGTCACATACGATATAAACCATTTTCCGGTTGTTTTAGGTTAACTAATAATCTTGTTTCACCTAATACTCCTCGTTACGTCCTGTGGGGACGTAACTGTTATCACTAGGGATTAATATTAATACTGAAAACCAATGCATCTTTTTATTAATCAAAATATATTTCAACGTAGCAGAGCCACGATGCAACTGGAATAAGTCGACCAGGCGGGATAACTGTCCCACGAAATACCGGCGTAACATAGCAGCTTAATGTTGTTGTGTATTCATCGTCTAAAATCACGCTCACATTTTGATTCTTAATTGAGGAGGTATGTTTGGGCCACAGCATCCACTTAACATCAGGCGAACTGTGTGCTCGTTTCTCATCTTTAATAAAAATATTATAAAAATCCAATTTAAGCTGACTCCTTTTTAAAATACCAGCAACGCACCTGCAATTCCACCGGTTTTGCAGATGTTTGTGGGCGGCGGTCGACATTTACTATTAGGCGAGCTGCATGCTCGTTTGCCCCTTCTTTTATAATATAAAAACACAAAACAAATCGTGAGAAGACCTGCATGTCTAAGAAATTAAAATTAAAAAATATCTTACAATAATTTCACGAGGCCACGTTTATAATGTTACTTCACTTTTTGCCTTAAATTTCTTTACATACTTTAACTACTTGTAAAAAATCTATTGTTTCTCTTAAAATTTGAGTATGTAATGATGTATATTTATAAAATGAGGCCATGTTCTTATGGAAGTAATATATTATTTTAATTTATGTAGAGCCTTAGAACAATGAAGAAAGAACTACAATAGGCTATGTGTATTCAGCTTTAACGATATGAAGACGAACAATAATTTCTACAATACTAATGGTATGAAGGTCTACAGTATTGTTCTGAAGCTTCATTAAATTGCCGTGTGTTTGAAAATGGATATTAAAGGTGTTATGTTGTTAATTATAACACTTATATCGGAAGTAGTTTGTAAGTATTTTATTTTCTTTAATTTTTATATCTTAACAATAAAATAATGTTTCACTATGTTTTAATTAAATTATTCAAAATCGGTAGCAAACTTTTTTTCTTTGGTCGTGGATAGGTATGCTTACACTTTAACCAGTATCAAATTACAATGAATTATCCATTAAAATGTCAATATGTTTAAAAACTTCTTCACAATATGCTGATGCGTCACAATGCGAAGTTTTTGGGTGATTTTAATGACCAGTGGATGGTCGATGAAGACAATAACTATGAACACACAACTTAGGGCGCTTAAGCTAGCTAAATAACTCGAGGTTTATATCAACATCGAAGAACTTTTTCGTCGTTTTCACTTATAGTTCACATGCGAAGACAATACCACTATCGTAACATGAAAACAGGATTAACAACGCGTCGATGGTCAAGTTTCCGCCTAAACTCCTGGCAAACTATATAGTAGAGTCTCACTAATCCGGCACTATACAAGATCAGAAGGTGACGGATTATTGGAATATTCTGATTACTGGATTGTATAAAGAAATTCAAGTTAAATAAAGTTTTATGTATGTATTAATAAGGCGATATGTATTTACATATTCAATACATATGTATGTATGAACATATTTATTTGTGACAATGTTTATCTTACTCCTTAATTAAGGTCTCTTTTTGCAACTTGTAGATTTTGTTAAATATTTTTCTCGGATATTTGAAGCACTATAACATTCTTGGCAGATACATCATTTTCTTCAGTCCAGTGGTTTTATTTTCGTAGTAGTAGTTCGTCGCTCCAATATTTTTGTTAGACTTTCCTATACTTGCACATAACAAATAATGACATTATTATTTTATCTGTTTCTTTTCTTCAGCGCTCCCTTCAAGAAAAGAATTTAAATCTGATTTTCTCCTTCTATTTTAATGTCTTATGTTTTTGCTTACCCAACATCTTGGTCTACGTTATTTTGATGACAAATCACTACACGTGCAGCAGCAGGTACGTGTTTAAATGAGAGTGACCATACAATCTTATATGCGCAATCTTTCGCTCATACTGATCAGGTAGGGAGCTGCGAAAGAAACAGGCGCGGGCGGAGTTAGCAGTGGAGTAGGGTGCTGGATTACTAGACGTGCCGATGTACTGAAGTGCCGGAGTAGTAAGACTCTACTATAATACTGTATAAATTATGAGTCAGTATTGGCAGAAGATATAATTTCTCACATTTTACGTAACTTTTTATCATACTATATAACTAGTATGCAATAAAAAAAATTGGCTCAAAAATGTCACTTTGACATTTGAATATGAATTGACATGCCAACATACCTTTCCATCAAGCTACGTTGACAACACTGCTATCAGTCCGCAATATCCTTTAATAACAAATAAAATTTATTATGTAACTTTAATTTAGTACCTAGATCATATGTAAAACATAAATTTTCCGTTTTGGTAACATTTGTAAAAAGTTATACTTTATATTGAATGTTATTACTATAGTTCGGCCGTTCAGAGAATGCGTTCCTGATACGTCGCGATTGAACTGACGGCGTAACTTTGTAATGGCGTTGCAGTTACGATAAAAATATTTTTGCTGGTTGTTTACCGTTTTAACAATTGATTAGCATTAAAACAATATTATTATATCAATAATAAATGAATGTTATAATTTTGTGCCAAACTGAGTGTCAAATAAATTGGTAAACAATATTTTTCTAAATCTATACTGCGCTATTACAGGCAATAAAAGTATCGTAATCTGTTCTTATACAGTTATATTTTATAAAATAATACGTTTTGTTTTTCTTTTTAAAAATTTGAAAATAATGGACTATAAGATAACTTTTATTAAATATAAAAATAAAACTACGACCAAACCGAACGCGCGAAAGAAAGTAGCATTTTTATATTTAGGTTGAAAATGGTAACCCCAAATGGCGTTATGGGCCGCCATTTTGTGACGCTAAAATATTTGTCTGTTGTCGTTTCGTGCGCATAGACCACTTTCTTCAAGTGTTTTCGATCTGTTTTTATTTGATTACCCGGCTTTCGTTTAATGGACTGTTTCTGCTTTTCAAACTGACATCGGCGCTATATCTTTGTTTTGTATTGCGTTCTTTACTTTTGGTGCATAATAACGCCTAAACGTGGACAAACATTGAAAAGTGGAGCCCGTGAGTTAATCATCAAGTGCAAGATTACTTTGAACGGGAGCGGCAAAATAGCGGACCCCTGTTACCTATCTAACAAGTACAAGAACGCGTCTCTCAGGCGCTTGGAGTTAGCAAACGAACGATAACAAATATTAATAAAGTAAAGTTCGGCTCTACTGGCACGGAAGATAAACCTTTGACGCCGGTGCAATCAGAAATCATATATATGGTTACTATTCCAGAAATGAATATCTCAACAGGAAGAAGCTTTTGGCATCGTTAAGAGAAGTTGGACTGTTTAGCGGAGGTAAAACTGCTTTAAACAAAATCTTAAAAGATATTGGTTTTTCGTATAAAAAACAGACAAAAGAAACATTTTGTTAGAACGATACGACATAATTTTAAAACGGATAAGTTTTTTTTGAGAGAAGCAAAAAATATTGATAACTGGGATAATGTCGTGTTCATTGACGAGACATGGCTAAACGGCAATCACACGGTTTCCCGTTCTTGGACGGATGATACACAAGCATCGACGTCGAAAGTACCAATGGGTAAGGGGGCCCGTCTGATAATATGCCACGCAGGTTCTGCAAAATGCGGCTATATGGAGAACGCGTTACTGGCATTTCAATCAAAAACCACAAATGACTACCACGACGAAATGAATGCCACTACATTTAAAGAGTGATTCCAGAACGTGCTTTTGCTCAGCCTACCAGAGCCTTCTGTAATATTCATGGATAATGCCTCCTATCACTCGGTTCAAATACAGGAACCACCTACCCAAGCTAATAAAAAAGAAGAAATGGTGGCCTTGGTTACAAGCAAAAGGCATTGACGCAAATATGCAGATGCTAAAACCAGAGCTAATTAAATTAGTTAAAGAAAATAAAGCGACAAATGTGCGATACGAAATCGTTGAACTGGCTCTGGAGTACGGTCATCGCGTTCTAAGAATTCCATCGTATCATTGCCAATATAACGCGATTGAGCAATCTGGGCTCAAATGAAAGGTTACGCCGCCCGCCACAATACTTCCCCGCCATTCAGCACGAAAAAGATGATGACCCTATTAAAAGAAGCCTGCGGGGAAGTCACAAGAGATGACTGGGCAGGAAGGATTGTTGAGAAGACTAACAACCTGATTGTGGAACATTTTGACCGAGATATCAGGATTGATTCTGTTATTGATAATAATATAATTATACACGTAGACGAAGATGATGATGAAGACACCACCTTGTCAAGCGAATCGGAGTCTGATTAATATTCTGTACGCACATTCAATTCAATGTACTTTATTGCATAGAAATACAGATTGTAACTTTGTAACAAAGAATAAATAAAACAATTTTATTATATTAATATTACCTTTTTTTGGTTTGCACTTAAATTACTAAAATATAATTTTTAAATGATTCCGCCAATTTAAAACGAAAATAATCTTAAAAATAACGCGGCCGTTCATTTTGGAGGAACGGTAACGAACTCAGTGTTATGTTGTGCCCATCATTAGTCGTGACTAACTGATAGGTGTCAAGAACGCATTCTCTGAACGGCCGAACTATAGTATTCTCTAATAATTGCTTGAATGGGCTGTAAGAAATAAATGTTGCTGTTTAAAAAATATTTTTTTTAAATATCTATTGGGAAAATATCTATTAAGGATATTCAATTCTTAACTATAAAATCGATGAAAATGGTTCCGTAAAACATTTTCTAAAAATTTGAGACTATTTATTCTGACTCACCTCGATGGATCGTATTGAATGCTGTACCAGAAAACCTTTTTGACATTTCAGTATCCGCTGTTAATATTGAAAACGTTCCTACATATCCAAAAATATATCAAAATCCCTTAATCCTAGGCGCTACTACTCAAAATTCAAACGGAAATTTTAATCAACGTCAGCTGCTTCTAATTCAACGGAACAAAAATGGCACACAGGGAATTTATCCACAAGCACAACACTTACTTACAAATCCCCAACTGTCGTATCTTCCTGATCAAAATATCAAAGATTCAAATTATAGGCCAAGAAACGATGGTGGAGTACAAAATATACACTATACCAATTTGAAACCACTAAGCGCAATTGATTTTGAAATACCTGTAAATGAATTCAAACATACTCTAAATTCCCCAAGAGGCTATTATTTATCTCAAGCAGGCGTCGAACGAAGAAGAATAGACACTGCAATTCAGCCAAGTGTTCAGTATTTTAATCAGGAGGGATTAAAAAATAACGGCTATAATCCCAATAATGAAAATGTACCAAAATTTCAAAGCGTGAAGTTCAAAATTAAACCGGATTTTACTTTACCGCTAGGTTTTATCAATACAAAAAGAAATGACATATCTTTGGAACAACAACAAATACCAAGAGTGCCAAATGTTAAAAACAATAATCAAGAGATAAGAAATAATCCGTCAGCAATTAATACTGGAAACCAAAACGAGAGAAACATTAATCCAAATCAGAATCACTTATTTCAAACAGGTTCTGGATATTTAGCGCACGAAAATAAACTAAATGCATTACAAATTCTAAATAATCAACCAAAAGAATCTCGTCCAGGTAAGTGTAAGAAAGTGTACTATTGCAAGTAAACAAAGCAAGGATTTTTCAATAATGATTTATACATTTACGTTTTAAGGGAATAACACAACAAAGAAAAAATTAAGTACACGAAAATCAGATCATAACAAGCGTTATAAAGTAATTCACAATAATGGAACTGTTGAGTATTATGATGACTTTTATGTTATTTTAGAAAAATATCCTAATATAAAAATAGCAAACAACATCCTCTACTCACAAATAACTCAAAATATGAAATTCAATAAATTACCAAGCAATATACTTAAGGATCATGCTGATATATTTTTACAATATAAAAATGAGCAAGCTTATCAAAAGCCACCAAAACCTGTAGAAGAAAAAGCTTTATTAAAAACAATTGTTAACAAAACACCAGAAAAACCATTTGTGCCACAATTATCATCTTTAAAACTAAAACAAAATACTCAGGCTCAACCATCAATGTTGGAAAACGATAAAAAAAATATAGTAACAACTAATGCATTGGCTAAAGGAAGTGAAAATACTTACATCTCTAGTTTTAAAACTGAACATATAGCAACACCAAAGGTTGGTAATGAAGTTCAACTGTTAGTACACCGATTGGACGATGCAGTAGAGCAACCTGTTACGCACGCCTTATCTAATAATCATCATCCTGAAGTGTCACTACTACAGAGTGCACCAAATGTACTATTTGAATCCAGTAAATCAAAGAATACAACTGGTATAAAAAATTATTCCAAACAAAATAGTAATATTACCAAACCAATAACAATTTCGTCAGTGCTAAATGACAATAAAAACAAGAACATGACTAGTGCTGTACAATTGGATACAAAAACAAATGTGGAAAAGTCTCCTTTAGTTAATATTACCTCAGGCTTGAGTAAAAATCAGACAGAATACAATACGAATTTATATAAAGAAAATATTTTTGATCCAATTAGAACAGTTAATTTGACTACGCCAGAATGTTTTGATGAAAACTTTTCTATTAAACAAAATGTTACTGAATCAAAATCTGAACATCCGGACAATACAGAGAACGTTAACTCAACAGAAGATTCAATAAATAATAAAGACGATCAAGATAAAGGTTAGTAAAAACTTATGTTATGTTAAACAACAGTTTTATATAATATAATTATGTGTTATTTTTTTTTTCTATTCCCGTCATAAAAGCGACTAAGTAACTTTTAACAATTAGGCCTTATTTGGAATGCGATTCATGATTGATTAAAAAATGTAAACGTTCTTAGATAACGTATTAGGATAATTGACAAAATGTGGTATCAGTGAATAATTCACTTGTAGACATAAATTTTCCGTAGAACACATGAAGGTGCCACTGCACATCTGTTTTAGTTTTCCATTGTCGGCTTTTATGACACCCACGGGATGATATGGGTAGTGGATATGCTTACGCCGCTACAACACAATTTGCAGTAATCACTAGGTAGCATTAAGTGTATATTATATTATATATATTTAATTTTATCTGTTGTAAATACACATACAAATATACTATACTTATTTAGGAAAGTCAATCATTCAAATGGTATTAAACTTACAATTTTGAGATACATGTTGAGGGAATGCAGTTTAATTCCTCTCACGCTGCTACGATTTGGTTGGCAACAGAGTGATGTAATAATAGTGTATAAGTTATTACTTTGAACTCTAATAGTTCCCTTTTTACTTCCATCCTATCCTGTAAAGTGTATTTTCTTTTTAACCCCTAACGAAAACGAGGTGTGTTAATAAGTTTGTAGTGTGTATCTGTGTGTCTCTGTGTTCGTGGCTTCATAGCTCCGGAAGGGATTAACCGATTTTTATTTGGTTTTTTCGTTCTTAGCTATGTATCATCAGCTATTTTTGTTTGTAGGGAGAGGGCGGCTTAACATTTTTAATCTAAGTTATTAACATCGACGTTGTTTTCTTATGATAACAGTGCTTTTATATTATGTGTAACTAAACTCACCACCCCCATCTTCAGTCATTGATAACAACAGGTTTGTATTTTGGTATTGGTAACACACCAGTTCCTATTTCACCTATTGATTATATATTTTTACAGATTATTTGTCTCTTAGTAAGCCCCAAATGTGGCTTAGAACAACTGATCCCGACTTTTGGAAAAAACTAATAGACGACAATGATGCTTACAGTTTTGTATATATTTTTGATATTCAATCGCAGTCTAAAGTAGAAAAAGACACAAAAACAACTATTTATCCTAATGGCACTGTTATGGAAGAAATAACAGAAACGATTTGGGAGAATGGTGACGGTGAGTAAGAGTTTAATTTAGTTTTGAACGCAAATGAACTATGAAGCAGGTTACAGTTTTACTCATTTGGTTTGAATTTTATCTGCAGTCTCTATTTAGGGCACTAAAGTTTTAAGTACTTGCATTTGGATGCATTGTTATAACGAGCATATCTTTTAGACACAAGAGCATTCTTTTCGTTCGTACCTCCTCTTGTTTATAGTGTTTATATATTTTAGCATTACATATCTTATTTTTAGTTTAACTGGACCATTTTCTTTTATTAATTGGTCGAAAATCATTCAAAGTGTGTTAGTAATTACATCAAATAATCGTTTAATTAACTATAAAATAATTTATTATCTTTATTAATTTTATAGGTGATCAGCCGAAAGTTTTTAAAACTGTTAAAGTTACTTATCCCGATGATGAGAAAAAAGGACAAGAATACGTAATTTTTTTATATAATATGTTTATGTAATAATCTTACACGTGTAAAACATTCAAACGTGTGATGTTAAAATATATTTTAAGATCAAGTAATTTTATAAAATTGAACCTTAACAAGTACTTTAATTTTGAAACTTTTTACTGATTTATTTTGTGCTAAGAAATGTAACAAAATCGGCAACATTTAATTAAATGTAAAGAGGTTCTTTATGCAGTGTTTTTATGTTAATTTATATTTTTTATATTCCTGTACAAAATTTATCTTCATACCTTTATTTAGATTTTGAGATGAACGATATACGAATAAATCTGTGGAGTTCGAAACCTTAGATAACAGCTGGATTGTCCCGTATTCGCCCATTCTATGTAAAATGTTTAATGCCCACATTAATGTAGAAGCACGTAGCTCTGTCCGCGCAATCAAGTATATCTGTAAGTACATAAATAAAGGAAGCGACCAAGCAATATTTAATCTCAGGAGTGAAGGTGAGGCAAATCCCGTTAATGAAGTACAGACCTTTCAAGCAGGGCGTTATGTCAGCAGTAACGAGGCAGCGTGGCGTCTCCTTGGCTTCCCTTTACACGAAAGGCACCCAACAGTTACTCACCATTGCTGTGCACTTAGAAAATGGAGAGCGTGTATATTTCACCGAAAGAAATTTCCAAGAAAGAACTGCATCACCGCCAAAAACTACACTAACAGCCTTCTTTCAACTTTGTCAAACCGAACCCTTTGCAAAAACGTTGTTATATTCTGAAGTCCCCCGCTATTATACTTGGAACACATCTAGTAAGGAGTGGAAACGCCGTATTCAAGGCGCGCCTGTGGCAAATTGGCCCGGTGTAAAGTCATCAGATGCCCTTGGTCGTGTGTATACCGTATTTATTAGTAACACTACTCTCGAAGTTGTTGATGATAGAATAAATTGTCTTCCCAGGTAAATCCAACTTCCACCAGGTTCAGACACGCGTATGGAAGGATTTTTTATACGTGGTACAGCCAGGCTGCAGCTATATTATGGTTATAGCACGAATGGGTCGGCTCGATCGGAGAAGGACCACGCTCTCACAGATTACTAGCGTAAAATAGCAGCTTAATAGCTACTGCTGTTTCGTATAGTGAGTATGGAGATCCAAATACCCTTATTTACTGGAAATGAGGTATTCCATCTAAGTCCTAAGTTAATCGAGGATAAGTGTAGATATCTATAGACAACAGCTTCCACTTACCATCAGGTGGACTGTGTGCTCGTTTGTCACCCTTATTCTATAAAAAAAGAAACAAAGAAAGGATTTCGCTATGTAGTTCATTTCTAAGTCATAGAGCATATAAAATAATTTCGGTGAGTAAATATTCTATGGAAAAGAATGTGCAATATGGACCAAAACTACACGCTTTTTTGATTATAAAATACTAGTGATCTCATTAATTTGAATTACTAATATTTCTTTTCACCACTCCTGGTAAGCTTAAAATGCTTGTATTAGGAGTGGTTCACGGCAGTAGTTGAATGGCGGTTTCGAACCCACGACCCTTTGAGTTCGCGGTCCGTAAATAAAAAATAATATATATATATATATATATATATATATATTTTAATAAATTATTTTTTATTTACATATATATTTATACATATATATACGACTAAAGATAATAGACGTTCCAAAATCACGTTGTTCCTTCCCGCTGCTACTGTACTATTTCTTACGTTACTCCTGACACTGATTCAATATAACAAAAGGCATGATGCAAATATATTGGGTTGGTACACCGGCTGATTGACAAGATTCGGTAAATATTAAAAATATTTCTTTTTTATGGAATAGAACTTATAATATAGCCATGTAGTTAGATTAGTTAAGTAATAAAAATACACCTGAAATAAGAAAAAAGTGTGTGCTGGTCATACGTGGTAGAAGTGAAACTCAGGAGAAGGATAATTGTAGGGTTTATTCATTACAATATTGTTACCAAGCTTAAATTTTTTTACATTTTATTGTACACATACCTATTACATTACATATTAAATAGACTGTAAGTTTTGAATTTAAACAAATGACACAATGATGTGAGTAAAATTTCGATATTCTTTAAACTAAAGCACATTTTATTTTACATTTAGCAACTTTTCAAACTTACATAACAAAAATATACCTACGATAATGCTAACCAAAAAAGCGGTTCCGTGAGATTGATGTACATTTACTACCACAGAACACTATTACTCCTATCGGAGTTTACTACCTTTTAGTTTAGTTGCACTTCTATTTAATTTGATTATTTGCTGATAAACTATACTATAAGGCAGTCATATCACTTAACAGCAATAAAGTGTAGCCCAAGTGTATAATTTTAACAATGCGTCAATAATCAAAAGAAAGTTAAAGTAGGTTAGCCGCATTTTTGCGTATGATTATTGTCAATGCTATACTAAAAAGCAGTTAAGTTATACTTAACGGCCTTTTATATTGTAATTAATATTCAAATGTAATGTTTCAATACTTACGTTAACTACATTTTTTGAGTTTACAGAACAGTATGCCAATAATTTCATACAAAAATATTTATGAAAGATTCGTAATTTTTTACATGAATTCCAATAGTTGAAACATTTTTTTCGTTGACATCTATCAAGAAAACCAATTTCGCTCTTTTTTTCAATTTTTCTTGTAACATACTTTTGTGACTTAGCTGCCTTCTTTTGTATTAGGGCAGTACGGAAGCTAGCAACTTATCACCCATCTAGTTTAATTTTATAGAAAATAAATGTTACAATCCTTATTTTATAAAAATATTGGTAAATAAAAAATGACTTTCAATAAGTAATATACAATAATTTATATTGAATAAAAAAAAGACATATAAAGCCTAAGTTTGAGTGTAATAAATCTTTTCTAGATTTATATTTCGAGCAAAATTGCATCACAATAGCGCCATCTACTTCATTTTATAGGTAATATCATTTTATCAAACAAATATTGATTGACTCGCAAGGTGGTACGTTAAATAGACGCTAGATGACCCAAAGTTATGAAATCGTGGATTGTTGATCAATGAATGAATGCATTGGATATGATAATTATATTCAATGTGGTTATTTACTAATATATTTAATAAAATTAACATTTTTATACTGCTTATTTGAACAAATAAAATTTAAGTTAACCATGTTTCAAGCACAAAAACGAGACCAATGCTATTTAATATTACTAATATTCCCTTTAATCACTGGTAAGCTGAAAGTGCTTGTGTAAGAAGTGATTCATGACAATAGTCGAATGGAGGATTTGAAACTACAACCTTTTGAGTTCCCGATCCGTACCTTGCCATTAGGCTGCTGTTGCTTACTACACAGTATTCCTTCAGTCTCTCACAGGCTAAATCCTGTAGATGTATACGTTTGTCTCTTTTTCGTTTCATCGAGTTTCAAATCACAACAATTCTAAAGAAATTTTAACTGCAACAATGAATAAATTACGAAATCGCATAATATAGTGACTATGTTATATGTTATCAACGTGACTACACACAAGCAAATTTAAGAAATACCTTTTGACGTTTCATATTAATTATTATATCGCTATAACTTTGTACAAGCGTACTCACACGATTTAAAATATCCTCTTACGTAAATCCAAAGAATTATGACGTTATCTATATTTCATACTCAGAACAATACTTTAGTTATTGTTCTGAGATTTCATTACAACATATAAAGTTATTACTAATTCAAATTTCAATCTTTCACCCAAAAAAGTGACAGAAAAAAAAGTTACAGAATGAACTTTCATGCTTGACGTTGTTTCAATGATATGTCGATATGCACTTTAAAGTAGTGCTTGAATGAAATGAAATGAAATTAATGAAATGAAACGAATGATTTTTACTCAATATAGTTTATTACATAATACTTATTGAAAGTCGTTTTTTTACCACTGCTTCGAAAAGTATAACTGCCCTGGGAAGAACCAGCATTCAACTAAGCGGGACTTTTTTAAACATATTTAAATTTATAATAATTTTCTTGTGTAGAATTTTGAAATGAATTTTTATAGAACAAACATGGTGGTGATCACCTCATTCCCAGGGATTATTTTTATTTATGTATTCTTTGATACCTTTTTTGTACAATTTTTCTTTAATAAAAAATTTAAACTCGTTTGTTGACAATTTTGTATACCTAGTTATGCGTACCGGTGGTATTCCCGGAACTGCACCGGAGACCATTACGATTCAAGCGTAAGCGTGGGCGTAGATTGCTGAATTGCGTCTGGAAGACGGGCGGTCTTCGTGTGAACACCGATAACTGTTCTTTAGCTTAAAGATCTAGAATAAGAATTAGGATAGTCATAGTCAGGCTCTCACATGTACCGGACATGTAGCTTTAAGTTAGAATCCAACGCGGATTAATTAAGTAGCATAAGTAATGTATTGCACATTAATAGTAATAAAATTAAAATAAAGTTTTTTTAAAAACGTCCTGAGTCAATTTCGAATCTTAAACAGCTCAACTAATTCTAGTTTTAAATCTAGTGCAGTCTCTAATTTATATAACTTTATCTCTAGAAATTAGCATTTAGCAATGAATATGAAAGAGTTGATAAATTTTGTGTATTGAGCTCTCTGATTTATTCTAGTATTAATTTAGATTAAACTAAATGATTATCATCTCTAAATAATCGATAACACTTCACAATCGAGTATTGTAGGTACCGATTTTAGAGCTGGAATGCCTATACCAATAAATGTGACAGCTGTCAAAAGGTTTTTCTTAGTTTGGTGGAGTATAGTAGTTAGTAGTCATGGTGATTTTTCATTGTGGCTTTTATGTAACCGGAACAATAGTCAGTAACCTTGATGCTAAAATAACGCCCTTCCTTGTCCAAGTATAAACGTCACGAGATTGTTTATTGTAACCGTCGCGCGTCGTTACATGAGTAATCAGTGTTTGTGTCAGTGTTTGTGTTGCAAAAACAAGTCACAGTGATTTTTACACTGTCATTTTTATGGAATTGGAATAGTCAAGCCAA